GGGGATACGGAATCCCATATTCAGTCATCATTTCTTCTAGTGACATTTTGAATTCCTGTAAACATCAAAAACTTAGCGGTAAAACATTGGGTAGTTGTTAAATATAATATATTGTGTAATGTAACAAAATAGCACTTTTCAATAGAGTGAAGATAACTTGAGTTATAAGAGAGTGTTATAAAGGACACACGACTTAAGGGTGCTTTCACTCTGCATTTTGTACAAGGTAAGATATATTGTTTCTTCTACTGTCTGTGATGCACGCTTGTGAATAATATGTGATTCTCCAATTATCCATCGTCCATTAAAACTTTGTTCTTTAACCTTTCAAGATGCACCCGCTTCACTCAGATCCATAATGATTCTATAATATCTTCCATCTCATACTACCAGCAGACTGCTGGCAGTAGTTCTATGCCTTTCAGGATCCTTATAACCATGACTTTGGGAATAATGTCCTCTAGACCTATGCTCTCATCTATCACAGCGTCAATATATACATTAAATAGCAATGGGGAAAGCACTGTACCCTGAGGCACACCAAACTCAACCATTAATTTATCACTTCTTCCATTCAGTATTTTGTGAGCCAGAGTATCGAATGCCCTTTGTTTTTGTAGTTCAAGAAACATTCCTATAACTTTTTTTCCTTGATCTAGGTTTTTCAGAATATTTTCGGTTACACGGTATTCTCCGTGCTAATGCAAACTGGTTTTCACCGGGCAAGTTAGGTATACTTTTCTAAATATACCATTTATTTCATTCTGAGACATTTTTCTACTAATTTGCTTATAATACTTGTTAAAGTTATTGGTTTATAATTACTTGCTAATTTTTTGTATCCATGTTCATAAACAGGTACAATATGGCCGATTGGTTTTATTAATTGAATATAAAATCTTTCTCTTATGTTGCAACTAATATCATCTTCTCCTCCTTCCTTTCTCAGTTTAATTGAGGTTTATTATAGGTTCAATAGGTAAGTTTCCTGTCTAAGGTGTAAAAAAAAGAGACTATTTTTACTACTTATGGCATCTTTGTTGTAGAATTTATTGTGTGTTACTCCTTTCCCCAAGGCTTCCCTGATCTTGTTGCTTTTTTATTATTCACTATTATATTCTATCTGATCATGATCGTATGACTTTTTTAGCTATACGATCAGTTTAAACATACTATGCAACTTTTGTTATTTCTGGAACCATTTCATTTATTACCTACTTATAAAATTCGTGGCTTATTCAAAACGTGAAAATATGTGTACAACATTTGAAAAAATTTTGACGGACGCTGATTTACTGTAGGCTGAGGATGTATATAGATAGTTTGTCACAAGTTGATAAGGTTCCAGTCAGACTACATACGAGCCGGACTGATAACATGTTAATTGGTTAATACCAATTAACATTTTGTAAATGAATATGTGTTCAACGTATATCTATGACGTTTCTGGATTATTTGAATAATTTGCTTTATCTTAAATGAGAAATAGAGCATTTTTTTGCTTATTTCAGATTGCTCGAAATAACAACAATATTTCACTGCAGCCAAAACACATTATTTAGGCATTGAAATTTATGAATGATCTGACTGCGACCTCTAGTTGGAAATTTCCAAAAATCCGATATCTTTTATTAGGTACTTGCAAAAATAGTTGTTTATGAATAAGTGCAGGGCCGTAGCGATATGACTACCTCTAGGGGGGGAGACTGAGATCCGGCGCCCCCTAAGCCCCGCAAAGCCAATTTTTTTTGCAACTTTGACAGACGTTAAAACCTAGACGGTTAATTTTAGAGAAGAGCAAAACCGAGCTGAAATTCTTATCTTAGATTTTCATAAATTATCATTTGATACCATATTGAGACCAACTTTGAATTTAATCCATGATTGAAAATTCCTTACAGCCAGGCAAAGTTGCAAAAAAGTCAGTTTTCAATTATTAATATTTCCAAAACAGTTGAACTTAGATATAGGAATGTGTATAGGGTTTATCACAGGAAATTTGCTCAGAATTTTACCACAGCATATACAAAAGCAAACAGCAGGTTAACTCTCATGCGCATCTCTTCTGCGCACGCCGCCTTTTGAGGATACAGCCTAACACGGCTACGGCAAAAGCACAACATTTGACGCGCAACTTTTCTGCGCACGCCGCCATTTGAGGATACAGAGCTCGAGTTAGCCAGCTGATTGTTTTTGTATAATATGCTGTGATGCTGTGATTTTACATCGAATCCGTATATTCTACTATATACAGGGTATTCTATTTAAAATAAGTTGCACCACAACCAGCTTTTCTGAAACACCCAAAAAATTTCAACTACAAAACCAAAACTCTCTTTCTAAAATGTCAAAAAAAAAAGATAGAGGGAACATTTATAAACAATAACCCTGTATAGTCTGGCAAGTGGTAAGTTGATAGAGACGAAAGGGGGAAGAAAAGTGGGGCGTAACTTAAGAATATTTACTGGAAATGAACCAATAATTTTTTTTTTTTTTTTTAAGTTTCGCCAATAACCACGCCACTTTGCTGTCGTTCAGGCTCTAACCAATAGAATCATGCATCTGATTAATCACGCCTCTCCACATCCATCATTTCGCAATGTTGCCGGATTTTTTTTAATTTCAAAATACTAAACATGCCCATATAGCAAAAAAAAATTGTCATCAACTTGTTTATTACTGTTTCCTCCAAGTTTGGCAAAGCAGCAAATTCTATTGCAGTTCGCCGTTTGGCTAGCCAGACAATACGTTACAATGTCACTTACATCACTGAAAGCTGAGTCGGTGGCTGGGTTCGGTAATTGCATCTGCGAGCAAAAGGAGCGAATTTTGACGGACGTCACGTAATCACTTATCCACCACTTATCTTTTTTCACGTGTCAAATCACGTGACTTCTGTCAAATTTTGCTCATTTTGCTTGCAGACGCAATTCCCATTGCCGAATTAACCGGTGATTCACCGCAGTGGCGTATTTACGGGGGGCTCAGGGGGCCCGGCCCCCCCCAAAAATGTATTTTTAATTTTTAGTTACTGAATAAGCACATTAACAAACCATAAACGACTTGGTTACCCTTTGAAAACCTAGAGAATTTACACAGCAAAGTGTGTCGGACATTCACTCATTGAAATAATTTTCACACCAATAATCAGGTTCTCGAACGCAACCCAGGTGTACCAGGGTGATTTTGAACGCATTCCAGGATAAAACAGAGACAGAAATGTCTGATGAAAGAAAGGGAATAGGAGTGAGAGAGAGACACAGGGGGATCAATACATTCGATCCGTCACATTGATGTCGTCACTTTCGGCGGAATTTTTTGTTTCGATTTTTTATTTCACTACCCCTGCTCAAGGTTATTTGAGAGAGGTAGGTTGCCTGCAAGGATGATACACACCTACACCTACAGGATTGCTTATCGGCCTCGATTTTGGTAATCGCCGCCATATTGGTGTGTCACCATTTCCGAGGTCATAACTAAGTTGTCAGCTGTTTAAACAGGCTACGTCAAGGAGAAAAATAAAATGCTGCCTGCGTCACAAATGGTGATTTGGTGAGGGGGGGATTTGTTCCACACAGGCTTTATGAGGATAGGCTATCCTGTAGTAGTAATGTGTATCATCCTTGGGTTGCCTGGATAACTCAATGACGTCATATGGGGTGCCTCAACATGATGCAAATCTCCATAAGAGACCCCAGATGCGTCATCAAGTTACCCATTACCAGACAACGTATTAATTTTAGGAACCTTGACCCCCGCTAAAGAAAGATAATTAGTTTTATTTGTTTTTATTGTTACGTTGGGCCCCCCTCAGATGAAAATCCTAAATACGCCACTGATTCACCGAGTTTTCGTTGCCCCGTTTTGATGGAACTTTTAACTAGGGCGTGTTCACAATAGAAATATGGAACTCTTGACTAAAGCGTGTTGACAATAACCGGCGGGGCGTGTTCACATTATAATAGTTGTAAAATAGTATTTAATTACCTACTCAGAAACTTGCCTTTTGACTATTTTTTTTTTTTCATTTTTTTTTTTTTTCACTTTGCCTATTTTGGCGCCCCTGTGTCAGCTGTGCCCTGGGGGGGGAGGCTCCCCCGTCTCCCCCCCTATTGGCTACGCCCCTGAATAAGCGTATATAATAATGATTTTGGCTTTTGATGGGTACCTACTATTCGATTTATAATATTAACCTTACTGCGCTCATTACTTTCAATATAACAACATTTTATGTTCGAGGGCCGTCTTTCTGCTCATTAGAGACATTTTGTTAATATAACTTCAACTACCTATAGTTAGAATAAAAAACAAATATCAAGTTCTGTGGGAACCAATCCACGTACCAAAAAGTACTACACTCACGCTAAAGTGTACTTTGCGGCTTCCGCTATTGTCGAATACAAGATGTTTTCAGTGCCTGATGATGCTCAGAAATCCCAAATTAAACCACTATCAACTTGAAAGAGTTGAAATAATATTTTTCGACAAGGTAAAATGGCAATGACAAAATTAGAGGCAAGAAAGTTTAAAAAATTTACAGATTTCAAGTATGTAATCAAAAACTCAGGCAATTACGGAAAATTCGCACCGTGAAACTGCCAGTTTCACAAAATTTTCATTAATAAGTACGTATCTACCTAGAATATTTATTACCTATTCGACATGTGATATTTCCTAGACTTAATTTTTTTTTTGAATCGAATAGGTAGGTAGCTACGACTGTATAGATATACTTGAAAAAATATATAAAAACTATGCAAAAAATTAGAAGTACCCTGTAGGTATACAATAATATAAAAATACAATCAACCGTGTATCGTGTGCTTTTGTGTCCAGCCTTTTATGGTGCAAGCACCGTGTCCACTAAAATCCGTTCACCTATGCCGGAATCATCTCTTTTGTTACCCTTCCATAACTAATTCCGTTATTTCCTAAAGTTTACTCACATTTCAGTTTTAATTTTGCTTTTGTTCAGTTTATTCGCGACATGTCAATATAAACTACAAGCCTACAGATTTCTGTAACTACTCCAAAATTTCGTAAGTTTTTATGTAATAATTTTTTATTGTTAAAGTTTTTATCAGGTTCTTCGCTCCAATTTAGAATTATTATCTGAAGACATGCTCTTCCAAACTTGACAAATGTCTCGATAACAAAAAAGATTTGCATATTAGAAAGACAATTTTGGGATGAAGTAGAGTGCTAAAATATATTGTGACACTTGGAAAACTGCATCCTTAGAATATAATGGGAATATTCATTTTTTTAAAAAGAATGTGATTAGAATATTCGCCAAACCTATTGCGAATGTTCTAAGACAAGATTTTAGAAATACTGTTTACAATACCCAGGAACTTCCTGGGATATCCTTTAGGTTATTCCTAGACATACCTATGACATTCTCAGTACATTTTGAAAAAAAAATTCTCGTTAGATTCTAAAAATATGCTTGGAATGTATTTTCCCACATTTAAAGAAAGTTCCTATAACATAATAGTTATGTTTCAATAAGAATATTATACCAATATGCTTGAAATATTCTAAGAGTATACATACGTATACCATTCTCAATATGCATCCTTGACATAACATTCTTGTTTAATTGTAGGGATATACTTGGAATGTTAATTTTCTTATCTGAATGTTCCTTTTACATTATAGGTAGTGAAAGAGTTGTAAAATTTCTTTGGAAAACACAAGTGTTTAACCAAAGCGCCAACACACTGCTAATTACTCATACGATGAGTTTGTATTGCTCTGACACGGTCAGATTGAGTCAATACCTGGTGGTTTTGATTTATAAGACAATGGAGAAACCCGAATTTTCAATCATTGGGCACTGGCGCTAATTGCAGACCAGTTCTCGAGCTCTCGCCAGTGCGATATAAGCGGAAAGCAAGCCAACTCAGAGAAACAAGCCTAAAGGAGATTCACATGATATAAGAAAGATATAGATCTTTAACATCGTGTGACTCCCTCTCTCCGAATTCCTACAAAGCAGAACCAGAAGAATATACCTTTCTATAATATTTTTAGTAAGTTCCAAATAAACTGCTGGACAATTGCTTTCGAACAGAAAAAAAAATTCGCCTAACTTTCAAGCTCAATGTTTTTGAAACCAGACCAAATATCGACCTCCGGTTTTCACGGGTCAACAGATTGACTTTTTGTGAAAAAAACTGTACATGAAAACCAGAGGTTGAAGTTCTGGTTCCAAAAATATCGAGCTTGGAAGTTAGGTGAAATTTTTAGTTAGCAGTTTAGAACATTATTGCTTGTTAAATATGGTTGAAAAGTTAATTTCCACATTTTCCAGATAATATGTTTAATATGGTAAAAACACTATGGATCACGTCTAAAGAAACGAAACTTAGGTAAAACATCACCACTTAGGGCACTTGAGGTACCTGGTACCTATGAGTTTAGTTCAAAGTAGGTATGTGTTGAAAACGTGCACTGTGAATATCATATCACATTCTGAGTATGTGGGTATATGTCTTTTAAATATTCATTTTTTGAATAACACTAAAAACATTTGTAGGATGGTAAAACAAAAATACGTAGGCAATAAATGGTACGAGGCCATGGGTATCTACATGAACTTCTTTTCTCAGCACAACTTGGTATATTTGTAATAGTTCAAAGAGATATTATCCAAAAAAACATTCCTTAGGGATGGTACATATTATAATGATGTTCGTATGACAATATTCAAATAATGTTATGTAAAGTAGATTTTTAGTACAATCTTTCGGGTACATATACAGGGTGTCCCACCGGGAACCAAATCGATCTATACAGGGTGACTGGTAAGTGGACGTATTCCTTTGAGGAGATGACATTAGAGCCTATTTGCTACCGATTAAACACTATTTACCTCTATACCATTCTTAACGGTTTTCGCGATATTTTCATTTTTCTAATTTTTATAAAATTCACTACCTTATGAGGCAAATATTTAAAATTAACGAAAATAACAAGGACCTTTCTGAAAGTCGTGTTTTAAATTTTAAGCTGACACACTGACAAAAATATCAGCATTGAAAATTATCGAAACACTAATGTTAACTATTGAGTTATTGCGGTTTAAACTTAACTTTTCTTGTTAAGTTTCTAACTAATGACTTATTTAACCCTAAAAATATCGAAAATTTCATAGTACTTCAAACGTACAAATAATTGGCAAAAGTACTCCATTTTATTGTCTCCAAGATAAGGTACATTATTTCAGAATTAGCTTTTTGCTTTATTGTTAAATAAATTATTTTTATTTTAAGGAGAGACGATATAATTTTCAACAGAATTCTAATTTATACCTGTTTTGGATATCAAGTGTTGCAATAAAAATTTTATCAATTTTTTTACTAGCTAATAGTAATAGTTATTAGTAAAGAAGAAGTAATTACTATTTTCTGCTTGAAAATTTTGAAATTTGCATAATAAATTACTGGCACTTTATTGCCAAGCATTCTTGAATGCACTCTCTTCCAAATAAAGTCTGTTTCTTTTTTGAAGATAATTCCCAAGTCAAAAATTCACTACCAATGTTGGCAACACAAGCTCTTTCTAGATAAAAAATTTGAAAGCATTGACAATTTTACATTGTATCGCCAACATAATGTAAGTGTGACTTTTATCTTTGAAAAAAAAACAATATTTACCATTTGAAAAAATGTATTTCCTACCTTATAATAAAAAAAAAACAACATTCTCCTAATAAAAAAAAAACAACATTCTCAAAATTAAATGAAAAAACTTTTCCAACAAGTGATGTAATTAATTTTCAAAATGACTACCCCCATTCCTTATGCAATCACGAGCCCGTCTTCTTACTTCTGTCCTGGTTACTCGATTTGAAAAGTTCTGTCGCAATATCGCAACCCCATTCTGTATCCTTTCAATCAGTTCTTCGCGCGTATTTACCTCCGTGGCATATACGATTTCTTTCAGGTGCCCCCATACATAAAAATCTAATGGAGTTAAATCAGGGCTCCTAGCAGGCCATGGAATGGGTCCACCCCTTCCAATCCATCTATTCGGAAACCTTTGCTCTAAGAGTTCCCGTATTGTAAGACGATAATGTGCAGGACATCCGTCATGCTGGAAGATCATCTCTTGCCTGTTCGCTAGAGGGACATTTTCTAGTAGCTCATACAAGTTGTTACGTAAAAATTCTTCATAATTTTCACCGTTAAGGTTATCCGGTAAAAAATGAGGTCCAATTAAATTATTGGCGATAACTCCCATCCATACATTGACACTAAATTTTCTTTGGGAACTAACTTGCTTCTTCTGATGCGGATTATCTTCGGCCCAGTAGTGCAAATTATGAAAATTTGTTATTCCTTCTCTGCTAAATTTTGATTCATCGGTCCATAAAATTCTTGTTAAAAATGAAGCATCCTCAATATCCGCATGGAGAATAAATCTGCAGAATTGAACTCTGCGCGCCGGATCACCCTCGTCTAGTCCTTGCACAGGAGTGTGATGAAATGGGTGAAGACCATTTTGATGAATCACTGACCAGACCTTCCATTGTGAAACACCCAGCTGTCGGGAAATTTTTCTGGTGCTTGTTGTTGGACCTTCTTCAAGTAGTCTCAAAATTTCACCATCAATGTTAACGTCTGCAGGAGGAGCTCCTACGCGTTCTACTCGTTGAAGGCTGCCAGATTCTGAAATGCGACGGTAAGTTGCACCAAACACACTAACATGTGGAATGCGCCTATTTGGGAAGCGACGTACATATTCTCTTTGAGCTTCAGCTGCATTTCCATTGGAAAAACCATAAATAAATAAAATGTCCGCATATTCAGCATAGCTAAACGTTGCCATTTTAGATAGAAGTTAACAGCGAAAGACTATCATCAGAACTATTTAAATCAAAACTTTGGACGAAAAACTGAAACTAAATTTTGTTATTGTTTATTATTATTAATTCAAAAAATGGAAAAATGCGTATGGTATACCTGTTGATAAATATCAACATGATTGGCGAGTATCACACCAAATTGCAATAAGAAAAGACTGGAAAATAATGTTGCTTACTTAGTCTGAACTTACAATTCTTCTAAATGCGAGAATAAAACCGTTACTCCTACAAATGAAAATTATGAAATCAACAATAAAACAACCTTATTTTAAAGACAATAAAATAGAGAATTTTTAACAATCATTTGTACGTTTGGTGGACTAAAGTGCGTTTTTTTTTTTAAAGATAAAAGTCAAACTGACATTATGTTGGCAATACAATGTAAAATTGTCAATGCTTTCAAATTTTTCATGTAGAAAAGGCTTGTGTTGCCAACATAGTTACTAAATTTTTGACTTGGGGAATTATCTTTTAAAAAAAAACACACTTTATGAAGTTTTCGAAATTTTTCAGCATAAAGAAACCATTAATTCGCAGAATTCAGTTCTGCAGATTTATTCTGAATTCGGATGTTGAGGATGCTACAATATTAGAGAAGGAATAACAAATTTTGATTTTTTACCTGATAACCTTAACGGTGAAAATTATGAAGAATTTTCACGTAACAACTTGTATGAGCTACTACAAGATGTCCCTTTAGCGAACAGGCAAACAGATGATCTTCCAGCTTGACGGATGTCCTGCACACTATCGTCTAACAATAAGGGCACTCTTAGACCAAAGGATTCCGAATAGATGGATTGGAAGAGGTGGACCCATACCATGGCCTGTTAGGAGCCCTGATTTAACTCCTGTTGCGATATTGCGACAGAACTTTTCAAATCGAGTAACCAGGACAGAAATACGAAGACGGGCTCGTAATTGCATAAGGAATGGGGTTAGTCATTTTGAAAATTAATGAGTTATTGATTAAATTGTATCAAAAAGTTTTTCCATTTCATTTTGAGAATGTTGTTTTTTTTATTATGATAGGAAATACATTTTTTCAAATGGTAATTATTGTTTTATTATGGAACGAAAAAATTAGGTGCCAATTGTGAACTATTTGAAAGAGAATGCATTCAACAATGCTTGGCCATAGAGTGCCAGTAATTTATTATGAAAATT